TTTAAAAAAAAAAAAAAAAAAAAAAAAAAAAAAAAAAAATCATTACTTATTTTTATTTATTATTTATTATTTATTTATTATTTATTTATTATTTATTTATTTTATTATATTGGGCCTACATTCTCCATATCTAAGATAAGCCTATTATTTCCTTTTAGTGGTTGGGTCTCATCATTTGCTGCTGTTGCTGCTGTTGTTGCTGTTGATGCTGCTGCTGCTGCTGCTGCTGCTGCTGCTGAATCATTTGTTCTCTCTGCAGCAGATCTAACTTGCTCAGATATATTTTGTACTCTTCTTATCTGCAAAAAAAGAAAAAAAAAAAATCTATTTATATTTTATTTGCTGCTGCTGCCGCTGCTGCTGCTGCTGCTGCTGCTGCTGCTGCTGCTGCTGCTGTTGCTGCTGGAGCTGATGCTGCAAAAACTGCGTACAAACCCTAAACCCTAAACCCTAAACCCTAAAAACCCCTAAACAATAAATATGTAATAATAAACAGAAAAAAACGGCTATAAAGAACAATAAACAGAATAAATAAATAAATAAATAATATAAATAAATAAAATAAATAAATAAATAAATAAATAAATAAATAAATATATGTACCTCTGCCTGGAAATGATTGAAGAGAGTCTCAAAGAGGAATTTATCTTTTTGTCTTTCTATAACATCTTCTTCTCTTCCTTCTCCTTCTTTCTGCTCCTCCATCCAACTGTATATACACCCTAAACCCTAAACCCTAAACCCTAAACCCTAAATAGTAGTTGAAACATCAACGCTAAATAGTAGGAAAATGTAACACGTAAACCCTAAACCCTAACAGAGCAATAAATCGATTGATCCTCTAGAAAAAGTCTAGGGAAGATATAAAAAACCCTAAACCCTACTAAACCCTAAACCCTAAACCCTAAACCCTAAACCCTAAACCCTTACGAATTGAATGCGGCTTCTGTTTGTAGAATAAAATCAAAAGTTTGTTTTAATTTTGCATGCAAAGATTCAACAATTCTTCGGGATATTAAATTCCTATTTAAATTCCTTAACTGCACAAATATATAAACCCTAAACCCTAAACCCTAAACCCTAAACCCTAAACCCTAATTAACCCATATTAACCCTAATTTATCCGAATTAACCCTAATAAACCCTAATAAACAATATTAATGCCCAGCTACCTGTAATGGACAATGCAGCTCTAACGGTCTAAACCCTAAACCCTAAATCGTACACCTGTTGTTCCATATATTGTTAGCATATGCACAGCAAAGTCCCTAAACCCTAAACCCTAAACCCTAATCTTACATTAACTTCAATGCTTTGCAGGTTGCTCCTGATGGTTTGTATGTTTGTCCTAATAATTACATCATAACCACGAGTCCCTGATATAACACAAACCCTAAACCCTAAACCCTAAACCCTAAACCCTAAACCCTTGATCATAAACACTAATCCTCTACAGCTGAGACCCATGACTTGACCAACATTATGCAAACCCTAAACTCCTAAACCCTAAACCCTAAACCCTCGGACGTACCTGAACCCCTAGGAGCTTCTCTCTCATCTATAACAGGCCCTGCCCCTGGAGGCGGCCTTACAACAAAAGACATCGTATTTATTTATTTTTTTTCTTCTTTTTTTTGTTTATTTTCTTTCTTTATTTGTTTATTTGTTTTTTTTAATTGAATTTGTTTGCATAAACAAAACAAGAAAAGTATTTTAATGCCTCTTTCCTCCTCCTTATTGGCTACACGAGGACCTGCCTATACACCTCGTCGTCTTCTCCGTATATTCAGATATTCATATATAAGAATATGCAAGTAAGAAGGAATTTTCTCTCTCTTGCAGCGAATGGATAAGGAAGAGAGTAAGGGAATAAAGGAGAGAAGAGAAACAGGAGGGAGAATTAAGTTGTTACTTCCTCTAAATGCATGCAGCCACAATTGCAGTGTCTGTACAGCTCAAGAAGCTAACAGACTTTTGCAAGAAACTTTCCTTATAGTTCTTATGCTCGTTCTGCTTGGTGTATCACCGGAAGAGAAGAAAAGCCGGAATAAATGAGTATTAAGGAATAAGTGGTGGTAAAAAGAAGAAAAACAGAAGAAATTCTTCTTCTTGTATTTACACTGTACGATATATACATATATATATTAGTAGTCGGCTGGTGTTGTTGTTAGGAAAGCGGCGGTCGGGATGGTAATAAGAAAGAGTTTTATTACTTTATTTACTTCAATGTATGACAAATAAGAAGAAAAATATAATTAAAAGAATAAAGCGAGGAATAATTCATGAAAAATACCTTGAATAGGGCTGTCAGCTGCACCCTGTCGCTGCTGTCGGTGCCCAGAGGATCCGTTCAGAAGCCAAAGGAAACAGGACTTTTTGTAGCAATGTCTATCAATAAAAGATCATAAAAATGTAATTAAAGATCATAATTTACATAAATATCTGCGAAATCCTCCAAAAGGAGCTATTTTAACCCTTGTTTCCCTTCAGACAGAAAACGGCCGCCTATGGTATATATACATACATGCCTACATAACAACTGAGGTGTATGTACACCGCAAATCGGGCTGTGCAGATTTCCTTTGTTGTACCTCTTCTTGTGACTTTTTAAAAGAATTCTGTGGATATTTTGTATATTTAATTAATTTTCCTTCGTTTTTTTGCATTAAGAAGGAAAAATGGCGCGCGGATTCTTCGGATACCGCGGGGCCCCTGCCTTTTCTTGTGTGTTGTTATTATGTATATCTTTCTCTTTCTTTCTTCCTTATTTCCTCCTTCCTGTTTCTGCTATTATGTTTGATCTTCCCCCTAACACCCGCGAGTGTTTCTTCGTGAGGACTTCAAAGGCGGATACAGAGTTAACAGGGTAAGTATTTCTTCTTTTGTTGCTGCATGCAGTAACAGCAGCAGCAACAACAACAACAGCAGCAGCAGCAGCAGCAAGTAGCAGCAAGTTGTTTATGATATATATTGCTTCTTATTATTGTACGAATTAACAGCAGCAACACAATATAATAAACAAACACAATACATCTGTACGTACACGCATGCAACACTATAGATATATATGTATATATGTATATATGTATATATGTATATATGTATGTGTGTATACACCGTAAAAAGAGAAATGAATATACATACAGCAGACAGCAATATAATAAATAAATAAAGAAGAAAAACAACAATAAATAAATAGTCCTTAATAAGAAAGAGGAGGAGTAAACAATTAATAGATAAATATAAATACAAGGACATAACAATAAATAGACAAATAAATAAATATAAATAAGACATAATAAATAATAAAATAAATAAAAATAAAATAAAATAAAATAAAATAAATAAATTAAATAAATAAATTAAATAAATAAAATAAATAAATAAATAAATATTATTATACATAAAAATAAGCACAATACAGCGCTAATTAAATAAAAAAATAAATAAATAAATAAAATAAACAAAATAATAGATAATATTTAATTATATTTATTTATATTAATTAATTAATTAATTAATTAATTTATTTATTTATTTATTTATATACAGATCTTATCAATCTTTTTTTGGTGATGGTAGTGTACGAGTTACTGTTGAAGGTCCCTTACCTACTCATCGTATAAATAATAATAATAATAATAATAATAATAATAATAATAATAATATAATTACTCCTCTTACTCCTATTTATTCATCTACTGAGGAAAATAATAATATTAAGGCTATGGTAAGAATTATCTATTTATTTATCTATTTATTTATTTATTTATTTATTTTATTTATTTATTTATTTATTTATTTATTTATTATATATATTTATTATATATTTATTCATGTATTTATCTTGTACCTCTTATTCCTATTTATTTATTTACTAAATAAAATAATTATATTAAGACTGTAGTAATATAAATAAATATAAATAAATAAATAAATAAATAAATAAATAAATAAATAAATATAAATAAATAAATGTATAATTAAATATAAATAAATATATATATTAATTATGTATATATTCATGTATCTATATTTACGCTACAGGAAGATAAATAAATAAATAAATAAATAAATAAATAAATAAATAAACGTATTAATTAATATAAATATAAGTATTAATAAATGTAAATAAATATAAATAATAATAAAGTATATAAATAATGAATATTTTTAATCAATTTATTAGTAAATATAATTATCTAAATAATAGCTAATAAATAAAATAAATCTATCTAATATTTATAAAAATATATATGTATATGTGTATATGTACGAAATTCGTATACATATACATATATGTAT